AATTGTTTTTGAGCAATAACTACCTAGGTTTTTTGGTTACTTCTAATTGTTAAATGTGGTTTTAATTATATATCTCTAGCATAGCTTTTTGACATAATCATATGCTATTATATAGACAAAATTTTATCAAATAGTACTTAAAAAGATTAAATCAGTCCAAAAACTGGTCAGCTTAAATCAGGGATACCTAAGAGTCATAGCAAGGGAATTTGAACATGTATTAAATATTTTATTTAAATAATATTTTTATATATCGATAAACACCACTAAACTATGTACAGTTCTCGCACGTACAGACCGACAGTGTTATCAGAATAATGACAGATCTCAAGTCGAGGCACTACGTGAGTACCGCAATGCCGTGCTACAAAGTGACAATTATAATTTATTCCAAATTCAACCTTGAATCCATAATGGTAAGATTGAAAAACATAAAAGATGAACTAGAAATTTTACTTATTAAATGATGAAATTGCCCCAAATTTATCGATATTTTTTATATCTGTACCTACCTGGTTTTTTTTATTTTTTATCACTAGTTTAACCTCTTGTTTTGCTTACATACATCCTTTTTAGTCACCATGGTCTGTAAGGCTTTATGTTAGATGAGTGGAATTTAGATAATAAGTAACACCTAAGTATTTCTCTCTTGTTTCTTTATTCTATAATTTTTTATTCATTTTGGTCATAATAATACAAATTCTATGACAGCGTACGCTTATTACTATTGTTCCAAGTACAAAAGTAACTAAAAAAAAGTACTTAAAAATGCAGATCAATCCCTGAGTCTCATATATTTGACCAACGTTAAAAAGACTGAAATTTAAGAGAACTATTTCCAAAAAATTTTTGATATCACTAAAGCGTGTCAACAGCTACTAAACAAAAAAAAGAAAATCGATTAACAAACTGAGGAGAAAAAGGTACTGTACTGTTATGTCTTTGCCTATTTATGTATTTATATATTGCTTATTTATAATTTAAACGAAATCGATCCCTAAAAGTGGAATAGTTAATATTAAATAATTTCAAAGTCGGTGTATTCCTTTTTAGTTAAAACAGTTTTTAGTTAATCTATTCTAATATTACAAAGACGAAAAATTTGTTTTTTTGTTTGTTTGTTCGTATCGAATAGGCACTGAAACTACTGAACCGATTTAGATGAGATCTGATAAGAAGATAGTTTGAGACTTTTGAAAGGACATAGGAAAGTTTTTATTCCGGAAATCATCCCTTAAAGGGGTGAAAATGAGGGTGAAAGTTTGTATGGGGAAGCAGTCCCTTTTTTTAATATTTTATTTTATTTAATATAAATACAAAGTAGCGTCTTCATAAATAAATTAATTTAACATATTATTTTTGCACTATTTTTGGAATAGGAGGACAACACTACGCTTAGTAACTATGGAAGTAATTTTTTCACCGAAACACGATTTTATCTCTGAAGTATTGTAAGCAGACGCTATACGTAAAGTAAGAAAAAACTAGATTCTAAGAACTGATAACAAAAGTCATAAATCAAATTTTATGTTATTTATTAAACAGAATAACGTAACTAGACTAATTATGTGTCACGGATTTGGCTACATCTAAAAACTAATGTTAGTTTAAATTTTCATTTTATTTAGATATTTCGTTATAAAATGTTATAAATAGGCAAAGACCAAATGATTTTCTCCTCTTTTTGTCAACGTATTTTAATTTTGACGAGCTTTTATTAGAGCTTTTTATTTTTTAGTGTTATCAATAAAAAAATGGCAACAGGTAATTTTTTTAATAACAATAGGTAAATTTTGTTCATCATCATATCAAGAATGGTTAAATAAAAATCATGCCTCAAACAGAACTCGAATCCGCTATTACTGAGAAGTATACGCTATCTGTCATATTAGAACTACTGGCATTTTAATTCTAAACTTATATTTTCCATGACATTTTTATGAATCATACATTAATAGCATATTGCCATTGTAAAAATGGATTAGTAATGCATATTACAAGAACATAGTGCGAAGTTGACACGTTTATAGATAAAAAAGATTTTGTTATAACATTTTCCATGCTTCTTAGAATAATAGCACAAGTATAGATTTCTACAAGAAATATTCACAAGCGAAACGAAGTTTATAAATATTTTAGGACATTAACACACAGCACCATCCAGTTCCATGGTAAGCTACGAGGCTTGTGTTATGGATACCGGATAGTTAATACACATATATAATTTAAATACATATATATCATAAATATAAGCACCCATGACTTGAGTACAAACATTCGTGCTCATCACATAAGCGAATTCCCCCAACGGCACTCGAATTTTCGACCGCTGGCACGGCAAGTAGGATCACTACAAAGTGAGCTAAACGTGTGAGCCAACATCAGAAAAATTCACGAAAAAAAAGGAAAAAATAAACTATTCCACACTATAAGCGTCAAAATGTACTTAAACACGAACCTGAGCGAATCGAGAGTGAGTCGCAAGTATCAAAATAACAGCTCTATAATAAATTATACATATGAAATTACAAACGGTTCTGTAAAAAATTTAGTCGAATATTCTTTTACTATTTTATTGAGCAAACCGATAGAGACTATGGTAAGGATAAAATCTCTCGAACAAACATTACATCTTACAATTAAGGCTGTTGCTATTCATACTGAAATAAGGACGAATGAAAAATAATTTATTCGTACTGTAATAGGACGAATAATACATAAATATTCATCCGATAATGGGATGAATAAAAAATATATTATTCGTCCGACTGTTGTCGGTTTCTATGAATATATGCCACTTTTGTTGATTTCTAATTTAAAATAAGTGATTTTTATGTACAATAGTATGCAAAAAAAATAACCTAATCGAGCTACTAATTCTACTTACTTATTAGTCTATTCGTCCTTCCTTATAATTTATATATTTTATAAAGGACGAATAATTATTTTTTATTCGTCGTATTAAAGGACAAATATACATTCCTGGTGTATTAAACTAAAGTTAACTGCATCTTGAACTAGAGCAAACCACTGAAATATGCAGCTGTAAAACTGCAGGGCTTGCTTAAGGGTCCACTTTATAGTTTCCCTAAATGAATACTGCATTGTGCAGGATATACTAATATTATAAAGAGGCATAATTTGATTCTTTGAACTCTCTAATCTCAAGTTTTTTTTTAGTAATTACTAATCCTAGTTTTTATTATTTTTGCATTAGACAGCCCGTTTATTGGGAAAGCTATAGGCTATATATCATATATAGTCTATCCGTTCCATACTAACCGTTAAAACGTAAGGACGAACCCGAGTGAACCAAGAGTGAGTCCTTACTATAGGATATGAGCTATCTCCATTCAGAATTTCATCCAAATATGTAAAGATGTTACAATGGGTGCAAATAATACACGAACATGATTCACAATTATAATATTTGTGGAATTAGTAGAATTGAAATGCTTGGCTCATATTTGAATGTTTATTTTATGTGTGTGTGTGTTTGTTACACGATATCTTCGCCAATTGTAAAGTTATTTACATTTTTTTAAAATAAATAAATTGTACTTTAATAGTCGCCTATATATAAATTTAATTAAAAAATCCAGTTCTGAAAGTGGAATAATAATAGTGACGTGTAAACATAAAATTGCTGTTTTAATTTTTTTTCATCTGAATGAATGAATCAATGATATCATTTTTTTTTTTTAACATTATTTATAATCTTATTCGACTTATTGAAGTAAAACTTTTTTTAGGCGTGATTGAGGGATAAGTCAATACAATGGATATGGATTGAAAAATTATTACGTTTATGTTTTTGTAATAGTTATTACTTATTTATTTTATTAAAAAGTTATTATAAATAATTTTATAAAAATATTATATTTATATTTTGAATTGTTTTAATGTAATTGCGATATCTGCAACAGTGCCAAGGAAGTTTTACTTTAACCGCGCGTAAAGGTTACACGACTCATATTTTTTTACAATTCAAATTTATTTGAATTAATTAGACCATCGCATCAAAATGGGTTTATCAGGTGTTTTAGGTACTCTGAAATTAAATATATGTATATAATAAATTAAATATATATATATATATAACACCGCATTCTAAGCTAGTTTCACAACAATCATAATTCTTTCAAGGAAAATCTGTAGATATTATCATTAATGCATTAGGTTCTAGCTGTCTTGGTGAAGAAAAACCCATGCAATAAATAAATAAGCATTAGTACTGAGGAATGGCCTTGGTTTCTCACGTTTTGTAGTAAATTAGGTCCTGTCGAGGCCATATCTTAGGTTAGCTGACAAACAAGGCTTATTTATATACTGTACAGATGTACTCGTATATGATGTTTTGTAATTGGATTTGTATAATAATTTGATTTTGTGACTGGGTAAAACGACACAGGTTCGTTTTCTGTGCAGAGTAATTTGTATAGAAATATTAGTCGCTTCATTCGTATACCATAGTCCACCACGCTGGCCAAGTGCGGGTTGGCGGACTTCACATGTCTTTTGAAAACTTGCTAGGTTCTCTCAGACATGCAGGTTTCCTAACCGTAAAACAATCGGTATTCACGTGGGAAATTATTCATACATACAAATATCAGAGGTGCAAGACAGGGATATGAATCCACTTCACTTGTTTTCCATGCGAGCACGTTACCACTGTGTACACTATGACACTTTTTAGGGTATAATTACATAGTATAAAACAAAGTCACTTCCCGTTGTCTGTCTATCCCTATGTATGCTTAGATCTTTAAAACTACGTGACGGATTTTGATGCGGTTTTTTTCAATAGATAGAGTGATTCAAGAGGAAGGTATATGTATATAAAACATACATTTAACTGCCTCGGTGGTGTCGTGGCTAGCAAGTACGGCTGCACACCCGGAGGTCCTGGGTTCGAGTCCCGGGTCGGGCCAAATTTAATTATTGAGTCTTTCTGTAAAGCCTCAGTAACAGCCCGGAGTTGGGAAGTTGGCGGTGTTTCACCCCCGTGCCTCGGAGAGCACGTAAAGCCGACGGTCCTGCGCCTTAACTCTCACTGGTCGTGTCGAGTGGTCGAACCCACCAGAATATGAGAGTGACAGGAATAGAGAGTGCACCTGTGTCTGCGCGTACACTTGTGCACTATAATATCTCCTGCGCAGTTGGCTAGTCTCAATGAGATTGGCCGCCGTGGCCGGAAACGGTCGGGAGAACATCATAAAACATGCATATTATAGTACAGAAAGGCCAAGAAATTCAAAGATTTGTATTCCATACTATCCGTTAAAACGTACCTACGGACGAACCCGAGCAAAGCGAGGGTGAGTCGCTAGTTTATTAGTAAATAACTATAAAAATCGGTTCACATCTGACGATTATAATACCTCATTTTCGAAGTCGATCAAAAAATAAAAGAACATTTAGTGTGCTGTATATTTTTTCTTCATACCGTTTAAAAGTAATATGAAAGTATTTTTTTATACACCCTGATGACTTCATTCATTCTAAAAATAACAGTTATAATGAAACAGAGTTTTAGAAAAGATCAAAATTGTCGTAATTTTCTACTAGGCTGGGTTTCTCACGGCCCAACGACAAAGTAGACAACCCCGAAATCTTAAAAATTGTGACTAATTCGAAAATAATTATGAAACCGACTTCCGTCTTATAAGAAAAACCACAATTGCTTGGTTGCGTGCTACACAAGCTATGAAATTAAAAAATATATAGAGACTCCAATTTTATATATTTTAAGCCGTATTCGCGTGGCGTAGAGACGATATTATAATAAATATTTTTAGTTTATACTTATGTAAAACTTATACTAAAGTGACGTTTCTCACGCCATTTTTATTTTTTTATATTTTTTTTTTTTGTTGTAAGAACTAAAATTTATACTTAAACAGATATGTAGTGCCGTAAATTTTTATAATTTAATACTTTGATAGAGCATTGTTTGTTGTAGTACCTACTTTGATGCATTTATAATTAATAAATTCTACAAAATGGCTTTTTATTCAGACTTATTATCATTTTTATTAAGATCTAGATTAAAAAATAGCAGGTATTTAAAATGTACTGAATTTGAAATGGAAAAATATTATTAATTTACAGAATATGTTTAGAGTTATAGAATTACCTGGATTTTTATTTGAAAAACACTAATTTTCACTCGCAAATACACTGGCAGTGAAAAATATTTCAAAATTAATTCCAAAATTAAAAACATTCAAATGAAAGAGATACCTACTTATTTATAAAATAATATGTGTGTATTTAAAGTTATATATATTCCCAAGGAGGGTTGATGTCAGGCAGGCGGCCGGTCATAAAACTTTTGCCAAATCCTATCAGCAGTCCTATCTTCTGGATGTACTGCGCCGACCCCAAGTGATTGGGAAATGGGCAGGGAGAAGAAGAAAAAGATTTAAAATTATATATGTGTAGTGTATCAACTATCTGGTATCCATAACACAAGCCTCGTAGCTTACCATGGAACTAGATGGCGCTGTGTGTTAATGTATGTAATATTAGTTATCTCGATATTAATCTCTTTCAAAGAGTCAAAACGCCAGCCAAGATACTTGATAGCACAACTGCCTCTACATTTCATTCCATAATTTTCAAATACAAGTTATTTATTAGCCCTTCGAACTATTAAAGATTCGGATATCAAAATAACGAGGTCTCGAACCTCAAAATCTACCCTCGAAAGATGAAACTCAAATGGGATGGAGATAGCAATAATTAATTGTTTATACTATGTTCTAAGATAATAAATTGTAGTTATTAATTGTAATAAATATTTTAAATGGCGAAGAAAATTGCATGTTTTTGTAAATCTATACTAATATTATAAAGAGGTAAAGTTTGTGAGATTGTGACGTTGTAGGGGGTAATCTCTGGATCTATTGAACTGATTTAGATGAAATTTGGTAAAAAGGTAGTATGAGACCCTGAGAAGGAAATAGGATACTTTTTATCCCGGAAATCGTCCCTTAAAGGGTTGAAAATGGGGATGAAAGTTTGTATGGGGAATGTGAGTCGCTAGTAACAAATACTTTCTGCCCGCGGCTTCACTCGCGTAATTTATACTGAAATATTGTAGGATGTTAGATAGCCTTTTTCAATAAACAGACTATAAAATTCTTTAAAATGCTCATTTTCTTTACGCGTTCAAACAAACAAAAAATAATGTCTTGGTAAAAATATTTTCGATGTGAAAAAGATCATCAATTTATATTGTTTACGATTACCAGTTTTGTATCTTGGTGTTGTTCTTCTATAGATAGTTTATCCATACTAATTTTATAAATGTGAAAGTGTGTTTGTTTGTTTGTCCTTCATTCACGTCGAAACAGAGTGACAGATTGGCGTGATTTTTTGTGCGGAGATAGTTAGAGAGCTGGAGAGTGATATAGGCTACTTGTTACTGCGGGAGAATATCTAAATCCCACGGGACAACACGTTATAATACAATCCAAAAAATATGATCAGAATTACTCGAAACTTGGTACTAATACACTTCAATAAAATTAAATAAACACGTGTTTTGAGCATTTTTCGAAATTCAACCTATAAGGGAGTATAATAGGGGATGAAAGTTTGTATGAAACTACCTTTTTAGAGATTTTTTGTAGTTTTAGCGCGAGCGAAGCCGTGGCGTCTGTTAGTTAGTGTATAACTTTATACTAATAATATGTGGTTAGTATTCTATAATAATTATGAAATGTTGCTCCGAAGGAACTCATTTCTAAATATCCTTCATTAATTCTCCCTTAAAGATACCCAAAAATGCCCCCTAAATTCAAGTCTCTAGCCCATTGGTTTGGGCTGAATTTTGCTCGTGTACTTATTACAATATAATACAAAAATACATCAAAATACTTATATAATGCAGACTGCATTATAAAAAATATAGAAAAAACTTGCTTCCTGTACAATGAAAAACAAGGAAAAATCAAATAAAATTATTTCTCTAACAAAACTACTAAATTAAAAATATCGATAAATATTTTTAATAGATAAATATAACAATTCATATTGTCTTAGTTATTATTTTTATTTACGATTTATTTGTTTGATTTATATGTAAATTAAATCAGTTCATATTTTTTATGTACAAAGATCACTATGCTAATGAAGTTTTTACAACGCATAATAAAAGTACATACAGTATTTATATGGTAATTCCCCGTAATAATTAGGTTAACCTCTAAAGAGTATCAATTTATTAAACACAACACTTGTAGCGCAATAATTGTGTTTGATTCGAATTGTTTTCTTTGCTGATGGTCGGAGGTTCGATTTCTTCTTAGGTCGACCATAATTTTGTGAATTGGCTGGTTTCAAAATCTTTAATAAGCTAAAAAAATTAAATATAATGATCATAATGCGATAGAAGCTTTGAAACTAAAATCTATTTCCTACACCTTAAACAGTTAACGAATCGCATTCATAATAAACAAAAAATAAAATATTACATTCATCCCTTCATATAACGAGCACGATTATGCACTTGCCAAATCATAAAATCATCCCCAAATTTTGAACATATGCCGAGATTAGCCCCCACTGTGTGCCGTTGGCAACACCCTAAGAGCAAATCACAGTTGTCAACCCACCAATTACAATTAGCGCTATTATGTAATTTTGTTTGATCAATCATGTCTTTATTGTTCTAATTATGAATAAATTTTGGTTATACGTCATATTTAAAAGGAATTAGCCTGCAGCTTATTGTGTATCAAAAGTAAGGTATATAAATTAGCGTACGCTTTCGTAATAAACACTTCACCCACTCAGATCACCAATGTCAAGTAACGTGCCCAGAGGCATGCACTTAGACTATCGTTTAGTAGTGTAACAACTGAGTTTTGATGCGTATAGATAAAGGCAGTGTTCACTATGATAGGCTAAATGCTAGATCAATAGATCCTTAGATCAAAACAACCAAAAATCCTTATTAGGTAATATAAAAAAACAAATGATATAAAGCCAAAAGTTTCACATTAATTCCTTGCAAGGAAAAAATGCTAAGTCACTTACATATATTATAACAAACAGAAGAAAATACACAGCAAAAATTTTTACCATTTAAAGTAAACTTAAGGGCTGCATTCTGATGAACAAAAAATTTCGACACGCTTTTTATTGAGACCGTGTCTCAATGAATTAACTTTATAATTATGACATTTCCATGGTAATAATCCGAAAAGTATATACTATTAAGCAAACGAATACCATAAATGGTTTAAATTGATGTTTTGGCGAGAAATTCTATCAAACACATAACCATCATTCCGAAAATCGGTGATATCTTATAGCAAGAAATGTATTGAATTATTCATTCATTGCCTGCTTGAGCCCTCCGTGTCAACTCAGATGCTGTAAAAAAGCGAATATTTCAGAATATCTTAACCACTGTTAAATTCGATTTCGCATCCCATAAATATTCATAGGCTTCCTTCGATAAAGCTACAGTAGTTCATTTGTTGTGGGCAACTTTGTAACATTTATCAATTTTTAAATATTTAAATATTTAGGGTTCCGTAAGGTTGATGTGAAATGAAACCCTTATGTAATCAGTTGGAACACACTCACTCAACTCACTAAATAAAAAAAAAATAATTGTAAGTGCTATAGCTTCCTAGCGATGTAAAAATATTTTAATTTCTTCAATACTTCCAAATATTATCCTCTAAATACATACAATGTATGTACCTAATAACAAGAGCTTACACCTCGTAGAGGAGCCCTTACAACTATTTGTAACGCATATTGTATAAGTCAATGAAAAAAAAAAAATTTCTTTGTATTCAGCCATTTTTAACATCCCATTGCTGGGAGTGGGCCTTTGTTCATTACGAGGGGGGATCAGGCAATAGCCCACCACGCTGACCAAATGCGGTTTGGCGGATTTACACACATTCAAATAAATAAACATAGCTGTCTATAATAATATAACCAGAAATGTTAGAATAATTTGGGCTTCAAATAACAAAGCACGTTGCTTAATAGCACATTGCGACAGATGGTGTGACGTGAGACGGCGTATATTTAACATCAGGTAGACTGTCTGTTGGTCTGTCACTTAAGAGAACTGAAATATCCGTTTTTCTAACTAACAGCCTTTTGTTATCCGTAGTTTCAACAATGCTAACGTAACTATATTTTAAAGTGCTCGTAATAATAGATAAGTGTTTTGTAAACAGGT